CTTTCAATATTGAGCATGACTGAATTTCCAATTTTAGGCTTTTTCAGATTTTGGTTTTGATTGAATCTGATATCTTTAATTCATGGTTTCTAAATTGAGCTTTTTGATCTGTTTGTTTAAAGATACATGGAGACAGAGCATTGCTTATTTTTCTTATTTTTTCTGAAATACAAAGACTTGGTTTGGGAAAATTTTGTAAATGTGGGAGAACATGGTCATCCGTGGCCGACGTGGGGGATATTTGTTTGGAGAATAAATACTAGATGAAGATCGAGAAGATGGAGAAGAAAGAGAAAGTATTTAAATTAAATGAGGACCATGAGGAGATAAAAAAAGTTACTGTAGGATCCGAGCTTCTTTGTTGCCGAACAGGGAAGAGAACATCCGACTGAACAACAAACCCATTGCCGGATCTAGCATTTCTTTGTTTATGTGGAAGCTAAGGAAGAAGAAGGCCCTTAGGGAATTGTTGTCATTGAAAAAAGAAGGCACACGGGGGAAATCTGTCAAAAATTTAACGAAAATAATTAAATTGCACACGTTTAAAAAAGTTAAGAGTCGTTTTGTCAAAAATAAAAATTAAAGATCAAATTGTTATTTATTAAAGAAATTGAAGACTATTTGTATAAATTATCTTTTTTTTATTTTTTTAAATGTGATCCTTATAAATATTTTTTTTATTGTTCTGTTAGAATAATTTCTTTAGATATATGTCTCTACCTAAACTTTTTTTTAAGCCATCTAATAAATCTTTTATATGTATCTAAATAAATAATGTTCAACATATATATAATAACAATTCGATTTGCTCACTTTTCTGCTACTTGTTTTGTTACTTTTCAAACGAACCTTATAAACATTTTTTCATGATCTAATCTTGTAAAATAAATTTTCTCAAATGTGCAATTACCGAAACATTTTTCTTGCAGTTATTTTTCTTTTTTAAAAAGTAGTCTTCGTAATTATTTCTCACTAATTTCTCTCCTCAAATAATTTTTTCTCAGATGTATCTATTTCTAAACATTATTGTCATACAACTTCTCAAATACTTATTTTATATGTACCCTAGATTTTTCTTTTCCTTTTAAATGTGCTCTACTAAACTTTTCTCTTTTTTTTACTGAACTCAACTGTTAGAAGAGGAATAAATAAGTACAAAAAAATGTTAGAATAAATTTTAGATTTATATATATATATATATATAATAAAGCAAAGCATGATCCCGCGCGTGCTTATAACTAGTACTCAAAAAGAACCAAGAAGTTGGCTCTAAAAAGGCCATGAGTTAGCTGGCTTAGAAGCCACATGTTGGCCTCCATTTTTTTTATTCTCTCTATTTTTCTTTCCCTTTTTTCATTTTTAGACATTTTGTATATCTTTCTTCTCCTTTTTTTTTTTCCTTCTATCCATTGCCTTTTTTATTATTTTTCCCTCACTATTACTTACCTATTGCCTTTAGCAGTAATTTTTTTTTTTTTTAATTTCATTCACTAAGTTTCAATGAGTTTTTAGTAGGGACAGACGAAGTATAGGATGAAATATACAAAATATTTCGTTTGTCTCTTTAAAAAAAAGATTTTATGTATATAATCATAATTTATTGAAACACCTTTATCTAATTTAAAAAGTGCATTTTAATTCTTTTACTTTTTTATTCATTTTAAATTTTGTATTTTCTAATTATATTTTATTAAACTTTATTCTTAATTTGCTCTCATTTAACTAATTTTAAATATGCACTTACTTAAATATTTTTCTTTATTATTAATATTTTTTTCTATATATATATTTCTAAAAAATATAACGATCCTCACGCGCTACTGTTTCAACTAGTAATAATAAAAAGTGAGTATTTTAGGACGACTTTTCAAAGAACGGTCATAAAATTCCTTCTTAAAATTTTCAAACTACGACTCTGTCAAAACGTAGGCCGTGTTTAGAATTAATTCTATTTTTTTCATATCTTTTGAAAAAGAAAAAATAAAAATATTTTCAACTAGTAATAATAAAAAGTGAGTATTTTAGGACGACTTTTCAAGGAACGGTCATAAAATTCCTTCTTAAAATTTTCAAACTACGACTCTGTCAAAACGTAGGCCGTGTTTAGAATTGATCCCGTTTTTTTCACATCTTTTGAAAAAGAAAAAATAAAAACATTTTCAAAACGGCGTTTGGTGCAATAAAGATAAAAAATAGAAATAAAAACGATTTTTTAGTTTTGTATAAAATGAAAGAAAAATAAAAAATGATTTTTAGTCGTTTTTTATTTTTTATTTTCATTTTCTCATCTCTCAAGCATAAATAGAAAGACATTAATGAGTTTTTTATATTAAAAATAATTTCTTAATAAAATTACTAAATATATTTTTTAAAAATAATTTCTGTCTGAGATTAAAAATATTTTTATTTTTATTATCATATAAAAAATAAAATTTTTTTTAAATGAGTTTACCCGGAGAGTATTGACATATTTTTCCTCTTAGATAGAAAGAGCGCTAAAAAAAAAAGGAAGAAAAGCAAGAAAAACGAAAAAAAACCATATATATGATTATTTTCTTTGGATATGTTGACTTTCTAGTTTCTAGAAAGGTGAAAAGAGGTTAAGAGGTAATTTGCCAGAGGTTCTAATCTTTTTTTCCTTAAAAAATCACTTTCTTAGATCTAACGTTCCTGTGTCTTGCTTTGATTTTGTTTTCTGGTATTTCATTATCTCTGTCTTGATTTTATTTTCCATACAAGTTTTTATTTTATTTTTTGTTATTATTTTTTTGTTCCGAACTATAATATTGCATATAGAATAATTCTTTTTATACCTTACCATATAATTAACTCTACAGTCGTGTTATTTTTACTTTTTCTTAATGAATGATTAAAATTACTTTTACATTCCAATTAGTCTTATTTTTTACTTTTTCTTGGAACTTTTTTTTAAAACATTTTGCTTACCACATGGCCCAATACCACACCATGTATATGGCGGCATGACATGACACAAACGTCAAGAAAAATCCACATATATCATATCACCTTTAAATAAATATGTCTAGTTTACTTCACAGATTTGAGTTTTCAATTCAAGTTGAGATGTGATATTTTTTTAGAGATTTTCACTGTAGCAGAAAAAATTAGATGTGACATTTTCTGAGAGCTTTTTACTGTAAAAATTTAAAACTAAAAATTCGAATCGGTAAAATAAACGAGACCATAATTATATTCGTTTCCTTGAAACAAGAAGCGCCATTTTTTTTCCATTAGCAAAAAAAGAATAAAAAAAAGAAAGCACTTTTTTTTTTTTGATATTAACATGAAGCACCTTTAATCCTACTATAGTCCAAAACGCATAAAATACTCTTTTCTTTTTTTTTCTTCTTCTTCAAACCTTACATAGGCCTCGTTCGTTTCGCTGATTCGAATTTTGTTATAGTAAAAAACTCTCATAAATAATTGTATCTAATTTTTTTACTATAATAAAAAACTCTCACATAAAATCATATCTCAATTTAAATTTTAAACTCAAATCAAAACGAATCTATATAGTTGTATTCTAAACGTGAGTCGCTCCTTAATTTCTTTTGGTGTACACTTGTCAGCATTTCAATTCTTTCTCTCCCTCTCTTTCTTTCTTTCTTCAGCTTGTTCTTTCCATTGCCGACTTTCATGCTTTTGACGTTTTTTTCTCTCTTCTTTGTTATTTTGTAACGTTTTACTTACTTTTTTTTTTTTAATTTTACTTCTTCACGAATTTTCCAATATGTATAAACCTTTTTCATAAATATGTTTTAGTAGTTTAGAACATTTGACTAATAAGTACCATTCGTTCATTTGATTAATAAATATTTTTTCACTCTCTTTATTTTATTATTCATACTATAAATCCTACTTTGACATGCCTGTTTAAGTGGCATAAATTTGAAGATGGTCTTCCACCTATTACTCTTGGTTAATATAGACAATATATGTGTTTGTTTTGTTTGTTAGATCAATTTTAATACATAGGAAAGAATTTGCAATTATTTTTTTCCGTTGTATTATTGAATTTAAAAGTATATAAGAATTTTAAGTTATTATTGATTTTTTTTATTAATAAATAACAAGTTGTCATCCATTTGAAAATAAATATATTAATGAAAGGTTACCTTTTTTCCAATTGAAATTCTATTGTGAATGCACAAAGATACATTAGATCATATTGTTAACGGAAGAAAAAAATAATTAAGTCAATATTTGCTCTGATCCTACACTATTATCACAACGATACTCCGCTTTAAAAAAAAAAATAATCAACATATAATTATTAACAACATAAAATTTATGAAGATTTATTTTTGACAATTAAATCATCATATACTTTCATCATAATTCAAAGATATGAATTCCAAGACCTCACAATTACCATCTCTACGTTATGGAATGGGTTGCCAAATTTGATAACCAAGTAGCTCTAGGCTCGTTCAGTTCGCTAATTCAAGTTTTTAATTCGAATTGAGATGTGATGTTGTGTGAGAGCTTTTTACTGTAGTAAAAAAGTTAGATGTGACTGTTTCTGAGAGATTTTTACTGTAGCAAAACTCGAATTCTAAATTCGAATCAGCGAAAAGATCGGAGCCTTTGTCTCTATTTTTTTTTCCTTCATCATTATTTCTTAATCTTGTCCCGACTTTATGTGAAAACTTTTTACTGTAACAAAAAAGTTAGATGTGATTGTTTGTAAGGGTTTTTTACTATAGAAAAACTCAAATTCTAAACTCGAATCAGCGAAGTGAACGGATGATTGAATAACAATTTTTGTTGAATTATTTTGTTGAATCAGTGGCCTCGTAACTAGTAATAATTGGCCAACAAACTTTTCCCTGGTCCTCCGTACCCAAGACCAAAAGCCCATGGTTTTGCCACCATTTTACCACCGATTCTCTCCAAAACCATTGGTCTACCAAACTTCCCGTGGTCTCTAATTAACTTTCCACTTCACAAATTTTCCTACAACCAAAACTCTCCTCTATAAAAACAAAACAAACCCCATTTCAATCCCTCCATCAAGCATCACAATCAACACTCAAGATTTTCTCTACACATTTTAACTTATACTTCTCTCATTTTCACCCCCCACCCAAAAAAAAAAACCCAGATCACCAAATCAAACACACACCAAAAAAACAAAAAACAAAACCAAACAAATAAAATGAGCGCGGTTTGCAGGGCTTGGATTGCGGCGGCGAGTATCGGAGCCGTTGAGGCCTTGAAAGACCAAGGAGTCTGCAGATGGAATGGCGTTTTGAGGTCAATGCAACAACACGTCAAGAGCAATATTAGATCTTCTTATTCTCAAGTGCAAAAACTCTCTTCCACTTCTCAACTCTCCACTTCTTCTACTTATAATAATAATATGATGAATTTGTCAAAGGAGGAGAAGATGAGGAAAGTTATGGACTTGAGCTGCTGGGGTCCCAACACTACTAGATTTTAGAAATTCATGATTTACAATTTCTTTTATTTATTTATTTATGATTAAATACTATACTTGCTGCTAGATCTTTTGAATTGCTAATTGGATGATCTGGTGTAATTTTTAATATTATTAATTAATGAAAGAAAAATTTTATGATGAGCATATATTATTTCCTTTGATTCCATTACGCCATCAAAGTATTACCTAATTATATTCGTGCTGGTAATTTTTGGGCAAATCGTGGTAATGTTCAGATCTTTATCTCAAAATAAAGTTAAAGAAAAGAGTAATGGGCCGTGGATATGAAATAGCATTGTCTTTAATGTATTTATTTTTTTGCTGTCAGCGTCCGTTGGGAAAGGAGAAGAAAAATGTGTTTCTAACTTCTTTCTTATCAGTGGTGGGGAATAAAATACCCAAAACACCCTTCATTTTTTCCTAAAATCCATTTTTGTTCCTCTAATCATTCAAAAGTCTTAGGGATTGTTTTGAGTTAGGTGATTTGAGTGTAGATTTTGAGTTGAGTTGAAGTTGTAACTTCAGTTCGTGTTTAGTTGTCTATATTTGAGTTATGATTTGAGATAAAAAAATTTTTGAGTTTGTGTTTGAGTGAGTCAAAACTTAAATTTGTATTTAGATAGTATTTTAATAAAAACTTAATGTTGATAGAAAATTTTAATAGGGTATATGGGTGGGGTTTTATTCATTTTTTCGTTGTGAACGTATAAAAAAAATCATTTCAATCAGAATTAAAACGAAAGAGTTATAGCATTTTTAAGAATAGAAAAAATAATGTTCATTAATTTAAGTTTGAGTTTTTAAACTCGAGTTGAAGGGAAAACTTAAACTGGAGTTTTAATCCTAAATTCGAGTTTAAATTTAAAAAAATATGAACTTAAATAAAATTGTAACTCGATTATTTTTTTTAAGTACTCAAAAAATTACTACCGAACAACCCCTTAAGTTTAAGTTTTTAAAGTTAGGGCAAAGTGAGAATAACAGTACTAAAGTTTGGAGGGCATATATGAGATTGATGTTTTTGGTGGGTCAGATTTTTTAAACAGTAATAACATATCTATGCATATTTAAAAGAGTCAAAAAGTTGGTTTCTAAAGATGTCATGTGTTGGCATCCATTCTCTCTTTTTTTTTTTTTTTTAATTCTCTCTATTTTTTCCTACCTATTGCTTTTTTTTTTTTTTAATTTTCCCCCAATATCGCCTACTTATTGCCTTTAGCAGTAATTTTTTTATTATTTTCATTCACTGTGTGTGAATGAGTTTTTAAATAAGAATGAACAAAACATAAAATAAAACATACAGTATGTTTCATTTGTCTATTAATAAAAAATATCTTATATTTATATTGAAATACTTTTATTTAATTTGAAACGTGCATTTTAATCCTTTTGTTTTTCTGCTTATTTTAGATCTTGTGTGTTATAATTGTGCCTTATTAAATTTTATCTCTTAATATGTTCTCATTTAAATAATTTTAAATATAAGCTTGCCTAAATATATTTGTTTGTTAATATTTCTATTTGTTTGTTAATATTTCTTTTTTATAAATAAATGTGTCTAATAACATATTCAATACTCACGCGTAACGCGTGTATCAACTAGTACTTTAAACATAAAACCAGGCTCCAAAAAGTAATAATCCCTTAGAAAAGACGTCCTTGATTTTGTTTTGAGTGCCTCTATTAACACTCATTTTTTTTACTTTTCACACATTTTTTTTAATATTTCTAAAATATCCATTTAGAGGACGGATTTTTAATTTCTTTTTTGTTGCAGTAAGAATGAGTTCCATGGTCGTATTGATTTTCCTCCGATCTCGTAGCATCCCCCGTAAAGAATATGGAAGACCGTGTTAAGAAATCGATAGCAATTTTTAGGCACCGTTTATTTCACCGATTCGAGTTTAGAATTTGAGTTTTGTTACAGTAAAAAGCTCTCAGAAACAGTCACATCTAACTTTTTTACTACAGTAAATAGCTCTCACGTAAAGTCACATCTCAACTCGAATCAGCGAACTAAACAGGCCCTAGTGTTTTAGATTTAGACCATAATTTAATGGCAAAAAATATTTTCACTGCAAAAATATTCTCCTCTTGCCCTTGTATTTTTTCCCTTCCTCTTAATTTTTCAATAAATTTTTCTAGTTTCTTTTCCAAAAAAAAAAAAACTTATACAAAATTTTTTAAGAGTAACAAGTAGAATGAGGAATAGTTTAAGTATGTGTGTGAGAAAAGTAGAATGGAGGTGATTTAATTCTAAAGACTTTTTTAAAATTTTAATAATAATATAACAAGTAGAATAAGAGATGATTTAAAAATGATGGGTGTCAATACACGCACCCTTTTATATTTTAACTAGACCCTACATGTCTCTTGGTTGGTCCTTTTTCTTCGCTAGCATTAAGCAAGTCATCGTTGTTTTGTCACAGTCTGTAGTTTAAAATAAAGCAGTATTAATTAAACAAACGGTTTTTTTTTCTTTACCCAATACTAGTCCTTTTTCCCAATCTGTTGGTAAACCAGCCTTTAGTTTTATTAGGTTCCATTACGGTGGACAAACAACTCGACGAACCCGACGGACTTGTACGAACTCGATTAAAAGATCAACCTAACTTATTTAATCTGACTATTTATTGAGTGGGTTTAGTTTGAGTTTTTCTTAACCTAACTTAATCAGGACCCGCCCAATCTATTTATAGATATAAATAAATTTTTTCCTACCTCATAATGTATAGTATTTATCTTATATTTTATATTAATTACTTTACAACTTATTATGTTTTATATTTTATATTGTATGAGTTTTTATTACTGTTTGTTTGCATGGTTTACAACTTATATGTTTGAAAAAAAAAATTATGAGATGATTTTAGAGGTTTATAAGACTAATATTATGATGAAAGTTAGGGGTGCGTTTGGAATTGGTTTTAAAATGATTCCATTTTTTATATGAAACTGGAAATTAAAACGTTTTCGATCTCAGTCAGAAATTATTTCTGAATATGCGTTTGGTAGTCTTATTAAGAGATTGTTTTTCATATAAGAAAAAACTAAAATTCCGTTTGGTTATATAATTTTTATTTTTAATTTAAGAGCACTTCGTTAGTTCATTTAAGCCCACACCTATTTGCCAAAAAAAGGTATCCACCCAAAATTGAAAATGAAAAACGACTTAAATTTGTTTTCAGTTTTTAAGTCATTTTACACTAAATTGAAAACCATTTTTGTTTTCATTTTTTTTACTTTTTTTCTCCAAACGCGTTTTCCTCCTCAATCTCTACTTTTTTATCTCAAAAAACGTGAAAAATGAAAACGGAACTGATATCAAATACGCTCTAGCTTTCTTTTCATATATTTATTATTTTGAGTTGAATGATTAGCTTTATTTCTATTTTTTATTTTTACTTCTTTATTATGTTCAATCTGATCAATCCACCAAACCCACCTAAAATTTAATTGGGCGGGTTAATTTTAAATTTTGAGTTGATTGGGTAGGTTAAATTTAAAATTAACCTACCCAAACTTAATTGATCGATGGATGAAAGAGGGAAAAAATTATGAAGACAAGTTAAAAATTAAAATTCTCTGGATTTATTTGCCCTAAATCTCAAAGTTAGGATTAAAGTTCAATTGAGTCCCTTGTATTTCTGTTGGAATGTATCTTTCAATATATTAAAGAAATAGATGGTTTTATCCTCACATAATATGCTTGATTCACTATAGAAAAATAAAAGAAAATCCAAAAAGTAAAAATTAAAGTTAACTCTAAATATGTGAAGATGACAGTTAATTCAGACAAGGTCATGCTTGACTCTTGGATCTCTTCTTGCGTAAGCAGAATTATTAGGGCATCGTTCGCTCTGTAGATTTGAGTTTTCAATTCAAGCTAAGATGTGATATTTTTTTAGAATTTTTAACTATAACAAAAAAAGTTAAATGTGACATTTTCTGAGAGCTTTTAATTATAGAAGCTTAGAACTAAAAACTGAAATTGATGAAATAAACGAGGCCTAAAAGTGGAAGAATTTGGAGATAAAGAAATTATGGGGAGAGAGAGAACAAACAAATAAGCTAGCTAGCTTATTTAACGAAAATTGTAATGTTGCAATTCAAAGTGTCTCAAATTGCAAATAAACTTCAGAAGACTTTCAGTTAGAGGTATAACGGCTAGTCAGTCAGCTAGCACTTGTTGATTGGTTCCAGTTGAATATAAAAGAAAGATCTTTTGAGTCACGTGTCAAACTAAACAGTTAAAAAGTAACTTTTAGACTAAATAAACTAAAAGCAATCTTTTTCTTTTTAATCATTCCAAACAATCCCTTATTCTTCCATTCCTTCAATAATATCTCTCTTCATTTCTCCATTATTATTTTTTTCTACAATTCCCTTTCATATCACCATGGCTTTCACTGGAATGCTTAGTGTGGTCATTTTACAAACTATTAGCCCAAGAAAATCTTAGGGGTAGTTGGGAGACGTATTCAAGCCATTAATACTGATTTTGTTACAGTATTTTTCATCTCGTAAAGAATTTAAATTTAAAATTTTCTTCTCTAAGAAAGTTTCTATTAATGAATCAAAATTACTGACTTAAACGCATGAACAAAACACACTCCTAATATAAATGGCTCCTCAAAATTTTTCAGTAAATGAAAAGTCGTTAAGAGATAAAACATAGATATAGAAAATCTCTCATCCTACCCATTATTAAATTTTACATGTCACTTTGTAACTTCACAAATCCACAAGTTTATTTCTCTTAACACTTTAATCTCAAAAAGAAAAATAAAATAATATGATGCTTTTGTATAACCGGCCGTAACAGCCTTACTAATTTCTTCAAATAAAATGGAAGACGGCCTTTGATCTTTGAAAATGATCTAATTTATTCAAGGGCTTGTTGGATTTGGAAAAATTCATTGAAAAAGGAAAAAATATATATTTCGGCCCGTTTAGTTCGCTGATTCGAGTTTTTAATTTGAGTTGATATGTGATTTTATGTGAGAGCTTTTTTACTGTAGTAAAGAAAAATTAGATGTGACTGTTTCTGAGAGCTTTTTACTGTAAAAAAAAAAAAACTCAAATTCTACACTCGAACCGGTGACAGATTGACCTACTAGAGAAGTCCGGACTCCAACAAATAT